GGAGGAGGAAGGGTGCAGTCACTTCTGTCAGGTGAAGTCACTCCCCTGGATCTGGACGGCCCGCCCCGCGAGGGGTCAGGGCGTCCAAGACGGCTCCAAGATGGCTCGGGTAGCCCAAGGTGGCCTCCAAGAGAGAACCAGGTAGCCCAAGATGCCTCAACATGTCCTGCAGCATGCCTTCAAGAGGACGCAGGATCACCCCAAGAGGCCACGGATCCATATGAGGAAGCCCCCGAGAAGCCCAAACCCTTGAAAAAAATGAAGTGATCACTGGTGTTTACCTGCTCGCTTTTGCGCTTCCACTGGGCTCCTGGGCCTCATGATGACTCCAAGATGACCTCGGGAGGGAAAATCGCAACCTAGCCCCCCCCCCCCCCTTCCCACCCACCTCCCGCGAGGAAACAACAATACATGGACTCCGAAGGGGGAAGTGGGGGGTAGGGGGGAAACTTACCCACCCAAACTACCCTCGAGGGTGTGTGTGTGGGGGGGGAAAGACACGAGGGCAATGACAAACAGTCACCATTACCATCACCATCACCAACACCATCATCATCAACACCATCACCGTCATCATCATCATCATCATCATCATCATCATCATCATCATCATCATCATCATCATCATCATCATCAGCATCATCATCATCAACAACAACATCATCAAATTCATCATCATCATCATCATCATCATCATCATCAGCATCATCATCATCATCGTCATCATCATCATCAGCAGCAGCATCAGCATTATCAGCATCAGCATCAGCATCAGCAGCAGCATCAGCAGTAGCATCATCAGCATCATCCTCATCATCAGCATCACCATGCATAAGCATCATCATCCTCATCCTCACCCTCATGATCCTCACCACCACCACCGTCATCATCAGGATCATCCTCATCCTCATCATCCTCATCATCCTCATCATCATCATCATCATCATCATCATAATCGTCTTCATCATCATCACCACCATCCTCCTCCTCCTCCTACTCCTCATCATCATCACCACCAGCATGACCATCATCATCATGACCATCATCATCATCATGATCATCATCATCATCATCATCACCATCATCATCATCATCATCATCATCATCACCATCATCACCATTTATCTTCGTCATCGTCTTAGCCGTCACCATGCACCAAGAGCCAAAACGGCCCAAGAGGGTCCCAAGGCGGCCTGAAGGGCTAGGTCCAAGACGGCCCAGGGAGGCCACCAAGACGGCCTCCGAAGGCAGACGGCCTCGGGGCGCCTTGAGATGGTCCCCAAAAGCCCCAAGATGGCCCAAGAGAGAGCACTGGGCCCCCGAGAAGGCCCAAAAGGTCAGAAAAGCTTCCCGCAGTGGCCCCGTAGGGCTCGTCCCCATGGTTTCCCCGGTGGCTCCCACCGCAGCTGGAGGAACTTTTTCCGTCGGCCGCGAGGCAGAGTTGGCTGCACTAGCGATAGAGCTAGACGGGGGCACCGAAAAGCGAATTGGCCACCATGCAAGAGTGGGAAGAGAGCAGAGCGGGTGGCCGCGGGTGGCAGCTGGGGGAATATTTCGCTCGACGCTTCGCGACGCAGGCGCTTCCAAAACGCAGGGGCCGGTAGTGACTCGCCGTAAGCGTGTCTTCGATGATAATACGGCTGGACCTAAGACAGAAAAACGTCCTTCAAGGGCATGTGACCCTCCGCCGGCCAAACTGAAAAACATCCGAGGGCAACCCCCCCGGATGCACGATAACATCCAAGAAACGCGAAGAAAATTGGGGTATCCTCTACGAACCGACCTCGATCTTAGACCTCGGTCGACCGTAATCGCTGACAACGTGAGCGTCATCTGCGACAGCCTAATCATGACATCCTCATCCTCACGTGTCTGCTGCTACCTCCCATCAGCCCATATCGTCATCTTCATCACCATCACAACCCTCGTCATCGTCAACTACAGTAGCACAATCGTCATCATTGTCGTCAATATCGTCATCGCCTTCATCTTCTGCCTCTGCGCTATCATCTTCATGATCGGCCATGTTCTCGTCATGTTCCACATCGTCCTCCTCCCCCTGATTATCATCATCATCACCGCCACCACCACCACCACCACCACCACATCATCATCATCATCATCATCATCATCATCATCATCATCATCATCATCATCATCATCATCATAATCGTCATCTAATCATCATGATTCATCAATCATCATAATCATCACATATAATTATAATCATCATCATCATCATCAGATCATCCTCATCTCTCCATCATCCGCTAATCATCATCATCATCATCATCATCAGCATCATCATCATCATCATCATCGTCATCATCATCATCATCATCGTCATCCTCAGCAG